GCGAACACTGGTTAGCACTGCGTGACCCAGAGGGTGAACACTGGTTACCAATGACATAGAACGTGAATGTTAGTGAACACAATGACGTAAATACTTGGAAAAGGCAACATTTGCAGGAGGTTTGGGAAAGAGACCGGGTGCGCAATGGATCTTTCCAAGCTATGATGGACTGAATTTCTCATTCTGCACTGTTGGATTCTGTGATTTATTGTTATCTGATTTTTTTTTCCAAATCTGAACACTTGTCCATTGCAAATATCTTGTCATAATAGCTGTCAAACCCATTTGAAGGAAATCAACTGAGCTGAGTGGAACAATACCGAATAAATTGAATCTATTTATATATATATATATTTATGAGGCAGACTGTCCTTTTGCGTATTTGTATGATGCACCATTGCATTCATTTTTATAACCAATTGCTCAAATAAATGTAGCGTCAAGTTCTTTGGATAAAAGCTACTTGGAAGAATGTGGAGGTTAAAAGCTCGATTGAGCAGTCCAGGGACTCCTCTGTCATTCCAGTGACTGCATCAGATATGGAGAGACTTTGAACTGTATTGGACTGAAAGGTGAACTTGGATGGTACAATTCAGCATGCTGGTAGCGAGAGGTTTGAAAGCTGCGGAGCTGACGGAATTTACTGCATCTGTGGGCCGATCTGTTTATATTCCAACCCATTACAGCCTCATCCATATGCAGGCCTTCAGTATTTGATGACTGCGTGTACTTTATTGGACAGGTTTAATGATTACAGTTAAAGGAACTCTGGGACCAGTGCATTAGTCTGAAATGCAGGAGATGGATGAGCCAGACCCTGCTAGAGGCAGTCAGTGTCAAACTCACAAAACCTTATTTCTGGCACAGCTACTGTATGGAAGGAACTCCCCAACACGGTTATTAAAGCATGGCTGCTCTAAATTTGACAGGGCGCAGCTTCTTAAAAGACAATTAAGTGACTGCATAGGGGTGTTAGCAAAAAAATTTGCAGCTTTTAGCAACAGCCAGAAATGCTTCACATAAATTCTGTCTATCGTGTAGGCAATGATAGCATGACAAAGCATCTCCTCTTAAAACAATTTTACATTTTTTGCTAATTTATAACAAACTTACAGCAGCGCATGCATAGCTATCTCTCAACAGAATGTGGCTTGCTTCCTTGACCTTCATAGGTTGAGGAGGGACCTAACAGGGGTGTTTAAAATTATAGATGAATGTGAAAAGATACATGCATATACACTATATAAAAACCAAAAGAACTGCGGATGCTGCAAATCAGGAACAAAAACAAAGTTGCTGGAAAAGCTCAGCAGGTCTGGCAGCATCTGTGAAGGAGAAAACAGAGTCAACGTTTTGGGAAGGGTCACCGGACCCGAAACGTTAACTCTGTTTTCTCCTTCACAGATGCTGCCAGACCCACTGAGTTTTTCCAGCAACTTTGTTTTTGTTCCATGCATATACACTGTTTGCTCTAATGGGAAAATCTATAGCAACAGGGACTTAAAACTTGAGCAAGGCCATTTAAAAGTACAATCAGGAAACCTTTCCCACAGAATTTGATTCCAAAGCTCAGCAGGTCTTGGCAGCATCTGTGGAGATGAAGCAGAGTTAATCTGTTGGGTCCAGAATGACTCTTCACTTTGTACACAAAAGGGAAATGGGGATTCGGGTCTCTCAAAGAGTGCAGAAATTTACCAGAGCAGGGCCAACAGAATGGAGGCTGTCTGCCTTTTTAATTGCTTTCACACATTTGCATAACACTCATGCCACACAAATGCCAGGTTATGACCATCTCCAATAAGAGACAATCCAGCCACCGGCCTTTAATATTCAATGGTGTTACCATCACTGAATCCCCCACTGTCAACTTCCTGGGTTACCACTGACCGGAAACTCAACTGAACTCGCCAAAAAAAACCAGTGGCAACAAGAGCAGGTCAGAGGCTAGGAATACTGCAGTGAGTAACTCACCTCCCGGCTCCCCAAAGCCTGTCCACCATCTACAAGGCACAAGTCAGGAGTGTGATGGAATACTCACCACTTGCCTGGATGGGTGCAGCCCCAACAACACTCAAGAAGCTTGACACCATCCAGGACAAAGCAGCCGCTTGATTGGCACTACATCCACAAGCATCCACTCCCTCCACCACCGATGCTCAGTAGCAGCAGTGTGTACTATCTACAAGATGCACTGGAGAAATTCACCAAAGATCCTCAGACAGCACCTTCCAAAAGCGAAGGAAAAGGCCAGCAGATACATGGAAATACCACCACCTGCAAGTTCCCCTCCAAGCCACTCACAATCCTGACTTGGTAATATATTGCCGTTCCTTCATTGTCGCTGGGTCATAATCCTGTAACTCCCTCCCAATGGGCATTGTTGGTCAACCCACAGCAGGTAGACTGCAGTGGTTCAAGAAGGCAGCTCACCCCCACCTTCTCAAGGGGGCAACTAGGGACGGGGCAAGAAATGCTGGGCCCAGCCAGTGACGCCCACGTCCCACAAGTGAGTAAAAAAACTAACAGTCATGTCCTCAGCCTGCTGCAGTGCAAGTTGACACAAAATCAAAGAACAAGACCTCATCTTTCAGTTGGACTCTTTACAGCCTCCTGGACTCAACAGTGGATTCAACAATTTCAGACCATCAGTGCTTTCGCCCATTTTGATTTTGTCTTTTTCCTTCTCTCTTTCTCATGTTCTGATTTTTCACCAAGCTGTTCATTGTTCTGCCATTCACACTCACCCTGGATCAATGTCTTGTTCCTTCACTAAAACCATGTCCTGTTGCCTTTTCTTCCATGACATCTTTGCCATTTAATCTCTCTGGCCCTCTGCTCTACCCAAACTTTCACCCTCCCCTCTTTCATCTGAGCAAAACTCATCACATTTCTACCAGGGTCACTGGGCTCCGAACGTTAACACTCTTTCTCTCCTCACAGATGCTGAGTTTCTCCAGCAATTTCTGTTTCCATTTCAGATCTCCAGCATCTGCAGGACTTTGTTTTATAATATTCCTACCTTCTTGCAATTTGCAATATTAACAGGACTTCTTTCGCTGTTGGATCTGCCAAGTATCTCCACCAATTAATGTCTTTTATTTCAGATTACCAAGATCGCCAGTATTTCACTTTCATATAAGTCAGTTACGGTTGGGGTGTAGTTTTAAAGCGTGGAGAGTAAATGCAGATTAATAAAATTGCGGGGCTGATCAGCTATGATCTGATAGAATGCTAGAATGATGTGAAAGACCTAAATGACTTCTTGCTCTGACACAGGACCGGCTTGGGTAATGGATGCAATGAAAAACCTGGCCACACGTACATCCCTATAACCTTCATTTGTCAACTGAAATCTGGTCTCTTATGGAGACTGAGGATGGATCTCAGGATGAGCATGAGAGAATTCCCCAACCTCGCCTCCCGACAATATTTCCAGAAGCATTCAAAGTAACATTTTCAAAAATGTGCATAAGGAAGCAGACATATAAAAAACGTGCAAGGTCGATTTAAAAACTCCTTTGCCGAATGAACTTCACTTATTCTCATTCCAGATGGGAATTCCACCCAAGGGAAAATGCAACACTTCAGCACAAAACAATCCCAAGTTTTCCAACTCACCACAGGCCACACAACACGGAATGGGGGTCCTGGAAACAAACGGGCATGGGACAATTTCTCCCACAATTCGACGCTCCATTGGCCAGGTCATGGAGTCATAGAGCAGGGAAACTGACCCTTCAGTCCAAACTATCCATGCTGAACTGAACTCGTCCCATTTGCCTGACTTTGCCCCATATCCCTCTAAACCCTTCCTATTCATGTACATGTCCGAATGTCTTTTAAATGTCGTAACGCTACCCAGCTCCACCACTTCCTCTGGCAGTTCGTTCCATACACGCACCACCCTCTGTGTGGAAAAAAAAATTGCCTCTTGGGTCCCTTTTAAATCTTTCCCCTCTCACCTTAAACCTACGCCCTCTAGTTCTGGACTGCCCTCCCCTGCTATTCACCTTATCCATGCCCCTCAG